AAACCTAAGTCTTGCAAAATTATTCCTGCTGTGATAAAATCTAAGTCATGAACACTTGTATGCGTTGAAAAAATTTGACCTCCTTAGAAGAGATGTGGAGTTCTAGGCACTAAAAAATGTTTCTTTTTTTGGCAGACAAATCTCCCAGTTTTTAAGGTCAAAGAGTCAACTGTAAGGAGACGGTACAGTGACTTCAAATGGCTAAGAACCGAGTTGGAAAGGGACAGCAAGGTATTAATTTTTCATAATTAAAGTTATTTTGTTGTAATATAGTATGACCCCTCCTCACTCCCACTAACCGGGCCAGCCCTGGTTAGCTAGTGGGCTCATATGAAGAGGCCCTCAGTGGCAGATCCAGACTTGCAAACAAGTCAGGGACCCAGATAGACCGCAAAACAGTCCGTATTTTAGCGCGAAAGTGTCGGGCTGAACGCGGCCGAATGATCTGGAATGAGCGTGAAATTACGAGTGGGATTGGGAGTGTGGATTGTCCTCTCAATTTGTGCGTCATGCACAATATCTCGAGAAAAAGAGAGACTGTTTTGCAGTCTAGGGCCCAGACTTAAGAAGTACATAACTGAATTTTTTGGGCTCTTGGTCCTCACTTTTTTGTCAAGAAGGTGGTGGCCGTAGTAGTTGTGGATCCCCCATCACTGCAACTAGTTTTCACACAAATTGGCTAGCCTGATTTTGTGACCCAAAATATTTGCTGTCTTTGCAGATTGTGGTACCTGCTCTTCCAGGAGATGCACTAAAGAAACAATTACCATTCAGAGGAGATGATGGTAAGAGACAGGGCTGATTTAAATTGAGATTCAATGTTCAAAATGCATGGGCCATTCATACCATGTAGATCCTGTTACTACTGTCATGACACGGAGTGTAGTACAGTTGACAAACCTTGTGAAGCATGCATGCGTTTGTTGTGGGGTGGACAGGGGGGTCTGAACTTCTCACTTCCCCGCCCCTTCCATTGGAGGGGTGTTCTGGACATTGTTGTTCCTGCCTCTCTGTGCTTTTTCTATTTCAAAATATTAAGCAATGTTGTGAATTTTTCCTGTTTCTTCCGGTTCCCTCCACTTTGGGAATCCTGCTTCTTGTCCTCCCTTCTCTCGCCTCCCATAGACTTCCTGCACCCTTTACTCCTGGGTTCCTGCCTACCTACCCCCCCCCCCCCCCCCCACCTTTCTATCGGCCTGACAGAAATCAACTTTGGTCATTGCTATCTGTTTCAGTCCTGTCCAGTTTTGACCTTAGATTGGTTCTTTTGTGCATTTTTTACAATTTTAAACCATTATGTCTTTTAAGATCAGTTTGTATGAAACACTACATAATCACCTGAAATATTGCACAATCATTCATTTGCCTTTCAGGAATTTTTGAAGATGATTTTATTGAAGAAAGAAGGCAAGGTTTAGAAGCATTTGTTAATAGGTAAGAAACAATTTTAGAACCCTAGTTGCTTAAAATATCTGGAAGTAAAAAAAATGTATCAAACACTAGAGACAAGACCAATAAGAGAGTTGAAAAATATGATGCATTGCCGAGTATTTTTGACGAAATTTGAGGTGTTTGGAAATCGGATGGAACACTGTCTCAAGTGTTTCATAGATGTTCGTAATCAAAACATTTCAGGGATTGGGATCATAACTTGCAGTTTTATCATTGCATGCAATTTTGCATGCACTGTTGACAAAGATTTTAGCCATAAGGGCATCCGGGAGTACCAAAGCTTAATTAACCAATTTGTGGAGGTACTTGCCCCCAGGACGCCCACTTTTCAAATTCTGGCAAAAAGCCTCCTGTTGACCATGTGTTCCAGCTTGCTAGAAAATTGATGTTAGTGATCCTATCAAGTCACTATACTGACATGTGTTTTTTGCTTATTTCCAGGGTGTCGGGACATCCTCTAGCTCAGAATGAGCGATGTCTGCACATGTTCCTCACAGATGCCATTATAGATAAGAACTACGTCCCAGGAAAAGTCAGAATCGCATAAAATAGGATACAATATTGATTTAGAAAGCCCAATAATTCTTTGGTGCCATTTCTACGATCAGACATCAATGGAAGATGCTTTTAACCCTCTCAGTTGATCAACATCCAACTTCTCCTAAAACTTACAGTACAAGTCAGGCGTTCAGGTTATGAGAATACAGAATATGATCACTAAGGAGAATTTGTATGCAGATATCAGGACTTGAAGGGTTGAAGTATATAATATTATATATTTTTTAGAAACATGAAATAATTGTTTGATTGCAAGTAGTTTGGGCCTCCCCATGAAATTTACTGAGATACTGATTTCAATGGTTATAAATAAATCCACAGGCCATAGTTGTCCAAAGGGTGGATAATGCTATCCACCAGATAAATTGTCATTCAGTGGATAAGTGTTAACAAAACCAACTACGCTATCCACTGGATAGTGACATAATAATTATAATATATATCTGGCCCCAGTTGTTCACCAGTTGTTCAAAGGGTGTATATAACACTATCCACCAAATAAATTAATCGCTATCCAGTGGATAAGTGTTAACAAAACAAGCAGCGCTATCCACTGGATAATGATTTACCCGGTGGATAGCGTTATCCACCCTTTGAACAACTGGGGCCAGGTGGATAGTGTTATCCATCCTTTGAACAATCAGGGCGTGGCTGTTTGAAAGTCGATTAATGCTAATCTAGGATTAAAAGTTAATCAAAGTTTTAATTTCTCTTGTATAAAAATGTTTTTCTCTGCTAATATTTTGTGGACACAAGTCAAAATCAAAACTGAAGGACAAAAACAAGAAATCTAAACAGAAAATCTCAATGAAAAGTTACAAAACCAACATCAAGATTTACGCTAATCGTGGATTAACGTAATCGTGCTTTGAACAACTGGACCCAGGCTCAGATTGAAAGTGGCGTTTCTTATCCATTCAGGTTTTCAAAGTGTAAGAAGCATGGCTTTTAGGTCAAGTGTTACCATCAAAGCTTTTGCAGCGAGTCGCATCCAGACTCGGTGTTCATGCTCGAGTACTTTTAACCCTTTCATTCCCAGAAGCAAGCATCAAGTCCAATTAATAATTGTGTTTCTAACTTTTAAGTCTGTGATTTAAACCCTAGTGTGCGACCATTCAAATGAAAGCTTCTGAACAGTACTTTCATGTGGTACTGTTTATCCATATCTTGCAAAATGAAATTTTATCCCAATTTTTGCTTTGACACATGGGAATGAAAGGGTTAAAGAATCTAACCCAACACAGACATTCTGGTACTCGGTGCTTGTAAGGCAAATCATGTCTAGTTTCCCAAAAAATTACCCAATTTAATTTGTTCTTGGTTATACTATCTAAGTGCCAAGAGACTGCTGTAGTGCAGTCTTTCGGGACATACAATGTATCTATGGATATGGTAAGGTAATATAATATTATAAATTATTATATCAGCACTTGCCAAGATTTTTGTTCAGGCACCAGTACATAGTCTGTGTTCAAACTAGCTCCTGTTTCTTGGAGACCAAGTCTGGATGAGACACATCACTGATCAACATTCTTTCTTGTTATCTGGTTTGCAAATTTTATGGTCAAGTTTTCAGTGTTGTTTTTAAACGCAGTTAAGTACAATTTAGCATTAACAGATTGATCATTTAGTGTAGGTGATCAATATAGCTCCAGTATAGTGATAGTCAGGAATGTAAACACTGTTGATTGTAAGCATTTCAAATAATAAGGACAAGCTCCTGTTGAAGTTACTACTATTCACCCCAGACGTCTGTGGACAAGTTTTCAGCCCGCTTCACGCATGCACCATTGGTTTCATTCTGCGGTGTCAAAAAACCCCATCACGTGATGCTATGTTTGTGGCTCGCGTGACCACTAAAGTCAAAGAGCTGTAGAACTGTCAATGAAGAAATCTTCTACACACAACCGCGACTCGTAGCAATGCTGGCGTCCAGCACAGGCATAATTTTCTTCCCAGCAAAACCCTGTCTTACTAGTAAAATATTAATTTTTTTCTTAGGAAGAAAATTCCGCCTGTTCTGGGTGCCAACATTGCTTCGAGTCGCGGTTGTGAGTAAAACTTTTTTTTATTGACAGTTCAACTTTAGCGGTCACACAAGCCACAAAAATAGCATCACTTGATGAGTTTCTTTGAAACCATGGAATGACACCAACAGTGCATGAAGTGGACTGAAAAAAATGCCCTTGTCTCTTGACGCCTGGGATGGATAGTAATCTTCCCAGTAAATCATGATACCCAAGCCTTTTCATCATCTTTACAGTAACTATTGCTAGTGGCGTATCCAGATGTGCTCAAAGAGGGTGGTAGGGGTGTGTAGACGTGGCTTTTCTTGCCTAAAATATGCATAGGCCCCCTGAATTATCATGCTGTTGTGGCAAATGGTGTGTGGTGATTTAAAATTAATTATTAATAATTAGCAAGCAAGACTGTTTCTTTATTAGAAATAACCAAAAATAACTAACTTTTTAAACATAATGACATTGAGTAATGTGGTACTTTACTGCTACAATACCACTGCAATATTAACAATGTATCTAGCAGCTTACAGTTTTATAATAAATCAATTTTGCTACCCATTCTTGATGAGTTTGTGATCTGAAGACTGAAGACTCTGAATGGGAATTTTTTAACAGCAAAAAAAATTTCTTAAATTTGCGTATGAGAAAGATGGTTTATCAGTCATTCTCAAACTCATTAATAATTCATCAAGTTAAAACAAGGAAATCATAACCGTGTCGGAGGTTTGGAAACCCGGTCTTAATTAGCATAGATTTTTTACAATTTTATTTCTCCGTTTACTCCTTAGTTTTTGTTTCGATTGAGAAGATATATCATACACTCGAGACAGTGTTTCATCGGCTATCCAAACACCTCGAATTTCGTCAAAAATACTCCGCTGCGCGTTCGTATTTTCAACTCCATTCTCGGTGTTTGGATATCCTGATGAAACACTGTCTCTCGTGTTTGATATATTACGTGACACTGAGTTCTCCCAACAGGAGTCGAACCTATGACCGTCCGCACACCAGTAGCCACGCTCTGCCACTGAGCTACAGGAGACTCACGGGAGCTTAGATAAATAGCTACCAGTGTGCAGAAGGTCATTACATAGGGTTGACTCCTGTTGGGAGAACTTGGCTTAAAATTCACCATCATTTCTTTCCACAACATTTGAGTATTTCGGCAAGGATAACAAAATGTTCTGCTGTCCACTACAAGGAAAGGCTTCTGTGAGGTTGAAATAATTAAACCCTCCCTCCAAACAAGCTTCCTAATAAATCAACAGCTGGTGTATGAGTGTAAAATTCTTGTCTCTCCAATTCAAGTCTTGCTTGTTTCCATTATTTTATTTTCATGTACTTCATTTGCTGCAAGCAGATATGGCTCCAACAACATGACTCCCCTCCACATCATAGACAACACATGGATTTCTGTAGACTTAGTATAGTGAGTTGGACTCTCGCGAGGGATGAAGAGAGACATGTTTACTTGGGCTAATAAAAATATTATTCTCATAATAACGATGTCACTTTACAACATGATCTGTTCAAATGGTAACCCTAGCCTGCGATAAACCAGTTTTACCCTTACGTGGTCTCTAGGATCTCTTGGGGATACCAATGTCGTTGCAGTGCCAGGCCTCTCCTGTCGGCCAACTCTCCCAGCAAGATGTAAATACTCATCAATATTCTTCGCAACTTCCGTTAAATACACGTGGTCCAACTCTTTGAAGTCCAGACCCCTTACAGTTTCCTCTGTGCCAACCACAACATTTATTTCTCCAGTTCGAAACTGGGAAAGGAATTGTTTATGTTGTTCATGATCTTGATTAGCGACTTTTTGGTAGAGAGCCACAGCATTTATGCCAAGGTCTCTTAACTCCCAGACGAAGGTGTCAACTGATTGGAGACGATGAATAAACACCAGAGCTGAATTCTGGCCTGAGTTCCTGAAAATTCTAAAACAAATTCAAAGTTGACCTTTGAGTGACATGTCATTACCCAAATTAATGTTACTAAGGACTTTAAACACTTTTATGGTATTACCCTAAAATCCCAGTTATATAAGCCCTCCTGCTCAAAGTCCCCTCCAACTGGTTATAAGCCACCACCACCCCCCCCCCCCCCCCCTCCCACTGATATAACCCTCCCCTACTACTTTTCCTAACTGATGAGGAAATTATAAACTACAGTCAAAGCTCTGGGCAGACACACTTGTAAGCGGACAACTGTACTTACAGCCGCCTTGATAAACCCTGTTTGAACTCTTACTAGCTCATACAAACTCTGTATTAATTTTAATTTGACACATTGCTGTAAGCAACCAGCTCCAGTTGCAGATTCTTTTTCTGCTTCCCAAGGGTGTCTCCTTTGACTGTAGTAAGTTTTTTCAATGGAATATTGAATTAATTTTATGCTTCATTGAAAGCTAAAGTCAGAAGTCGATTATTTACCTGGCAAGAGCTTGTGCTTTGGTGATTCCAAAAGAGTCATCACAAATGACGTACTGGTGCTTAATGCATGGTGGAACGTTACGACGCTTCCCTTCAAGAGTGGGTGACTGTATGACTGTCACATGGTCTCCCAGCCAATTTCTATCAGATCTTCTTTGAGTTCATCATTCACAGTTGCCGAGGCAGCAATCAGCTGGATCGGTGTAGCCTTGTAAATATTCAACAAAAACCAACACTTAGTACAATATCGTAGTAGCCTTTCAGTGAAGAGCGTCCTACCGTTGCCACTCGACAAAGTTTTTGATTAAGTTTTGACAACTTTGTGTCATCTTTTTGACACCTTTCTGATGGCTTCCATTTAAGCTAGCAAATCAAATTGCAAGAACTGTGTGAGGCGGAGATGTCAATAATTTGTCAGAACACGAACGTGGTGCTTGACATCTCTGCCTCTCATAGTTCTTGCATTTTGATTGGCCAGTTGAAATGAAAGCCATCAGAAAGTTTTCAAAAAGATGTCAAAAAGTTATCAAAAACTTTGTCGAGTGGCAACGGTAGGGCGCTCTTCACTGTAAAACATGTTATTATCTTGGTCTTTGACTTGTTGTAAGACAAACATCATTCACCATACGTATGAGTCCACACATCCAGACACAGTCTTGCTAAAGCAGCGGAACAATAATATCTAGCCAAGGCATTATCCATACCATCCCTGGAACCCTCACCCCCCTGGAATTTCCAGTTTAGCTTCATACTTTTATACTATTTCATACTATCCATACCTTTAAGCATGTTGGCTTTTGAGACCCTCCTCCCCATCGGAACCTTGGGGTGGGTATGGGTATGGTTTTTTTTTTGGAACCGGACAATGTACAAGCAGAAACAGCACATGGGTGGATGCAGGATTTTTTTATTTTTATTTATTTATTTTTATTTATTTATTTATTTTTATTTATTTTTTTTTTTTGGGGGGGGGGGGGGGGGGGGGGCTGACTGTTCGCAAAGTGCTACAAAAGAAAACAATATTGACAACTGTAACACAAAACACACTAATGACACTGCCGTTAAACAACAATTTTTACACCAGCCAAGTGTGCTGTATTTATTTTTTACTGATTTTATTAAATAAATGTGTTTATTTATTTTATTTTTTTCATTTTTTCGGGGCAGATTTAGTGGGGGAGGCTAGCCATCCAACCAAATCCTGCAGCAATTTAAAATCACTCACCCTGGAGAACTTGTGGATCTTCTCCACCAACATCTTCGCTGGTCTGGGATGGTTCTCTCGGTGAGTGAGCTTCTTGAATGGCGTCTTTCTTTAAGCGGCAAAAGAGTTTTGTCGACTTCATCAATTACAATCCTTTTTGTGCGATACATAAGGGTAGGATCCTTCTCGACAATTTCAAGAATCCGCTTTGGAGTCCCAATGACTATCCAAGGTCTTTTAGTGTTATCTTTCAACCTTGCTTCCTGTTTACTCACATCAACACCACTCACCTAAATATAAAAAATACAAAGATCCATATGGGTGGAGTAGTTACAAAGTACACAGGATAAAATTGGGGAATATAATAGTGCGATTGACATATTGTACAATCATGTTATGGGCATGAGTTTCAAGTTTAAAAATAGGCCAGGGATTGTATTGTTATAAAATATGTGGTTGAATGATAGGTTTGTTTTGTTTGTCAGATTGCTACATTTTGACTGCAATACTGCTGGTCTTCATCAGACGATGGGGTCAACTGGTTGTGTATCACTATTTGTAGCACTGTGGTTATTGGTGAACTATAGACGCATTTCGATCCACACTGTGGTTGTCTGTGATTGGAGGATTTTGATCCTCATTGTTACAACTAGAAACTGTTTCCTTATAGCTCCACTATAGTACAGATTGGAGTACATCCCCAGGCAAAACTTACAAAAGATTCCACAATGGTTTTGTCTCCAAGAAAGCGACGTGCCTCATACAGCATTTGACTCGCCAGTTCTCTTGTGGGTACAATAATCAATGTACCAAACGCTTTCCCAGGATACTGTAGAGCAGGCAACAAAAAACACCAAAGTTTTACCAGACCCTGTCTCTGACTGAATAAGGATGCTCTTCCTTTTCAAGATTAATGGAATTGCTTGCTTTTGGATGGCTGTTGGGACGGTAATACCATCTCTGGTTAGCTTCTCTATTAGTTTTGGATGAAGATCAAAGTCTTGGAAGGATAAGATTTTTGAAGTGTCAACAACGTCAGATTCCGCCTCAGCTTGGTTTTTATCCCTCTCTTTATCATCTACATTTCTCAGTTCCACAACTTCATCATCTTTTAACTCCTGTTCTTTCAACGACTTGTATTCTGGGGTTAAACCTGCAAAATCCTCTGCATCGGGAATTCTGAAATCCACAGAGCCGCTATCTTCAGGTAATTGCTCGATTTCGTCCTTGGTCAGTTCACTGGCTAAAGGAAGAGTGCTTACATTTTGCGTCATAAATGTATTCCCATACTTTCTCATTGGCGTATTATTACTAGTTTCTCTTTTTGCTTCCTGAAACATATTTTTAATGTAGCCCTCTGACGTGCTCCACAACTGCATGAATTCTTCATCTGGATCGTATTTCCTTTTCTTCTTTGCATACGTTCCCCGTTTGATGCCTGCAACCCGTTTGATCCCTGTCACCCCACCGAAGGTCTCTCGTCGCTGTGAGGCAAAACATCGAGCGTTATAAAAGTCTGCATATCTCAGATGAAAATTATTTCGAAAAAGCCTCTGGAGACCGATTCTTTTTAGAATAACAGATTGCATTAAGAAATTTGAAGCGATTTCTCTTACTGAAATGCCGAAAAGATATTCATTTTCAACGTGCTATGTAATTTTCTACCAGGCGTTCTACTCTTCGCTTACCTGGCGGAGGTAAACTGGTGCGTATCGAACGTCTTACTAAGGAGGGGAGGTGTCAGTGGAAAGTGCCAGTCCATAAACTGAATTACTAGTCTCCCTTACTTTATATAAAAAATTGAAGAAAATCGAAAATTCAACAAACGCATTTAAAAATTGAAGATTTCAAAGAGTTAGTCCCTTAGGGACAAAATATTTCGAGAAAATATGCGATTTATTTTACTCTCCCTACCCTACACAGAAAGAAACGCAAGAAACTTTTGACCTCTTTCCAGCGCAGATTTTTTCCCGTTTCCCGCTTGACCTGTCATGCAAAGCAAAGCGGAACGCTCGATCGAAAGGAATATTCATGACGACCACAGAGAGAACGGTGTTTAATGCGGTTGTTCTTCTGTAAACTCCACATCAATTCGCAGTGGGTAAGTATTTTACTGATTCAAATAAATGAATATCGAGTTCTATCGTAATAAGATCAGACGACTGTGAGGTAAAACTGAGGTTTCGTGATGTACATTGTAACGTGACAGAGATTCATACAGTTCGATATAGCTCGATTAGAATTATAAATTAAGGTAAGCTTAACTCCTTTTAAACTAGCAATATCTTTGATTTTATACTCAAAAACGTACATTTTTAATATCTCTCCATGCATAGATCAATTATCCAACTGAAAGAGAGAATTTTGAAAGAATAACAGGGCAGCTCAACGAACCAAATGGCT